CCTTTTAATAAAATTGCTCGTTTGACAAGGTCTCAGTTTGAGAATAAGTCATTCTAGCAATCCATATTTTTAAACAAATAAAAGAGTCCAACCATCCTTCGCGAATGCCGAAAGCCCGTTTCGGGCCGGTGGCGACAGCCTTAAAAACCCTAAATTGAAGAAACATGATAAAGAAATAATCATGTAACTTAAAGTATGATCACCTCTACAGCAGATCTCCGGTAAGAACATAAATGTATTTTCACCAACATACGATTAATGAAAAGATTGAAAGAACCATTTTGTTTTAAAAGAAAGGTTTTGACAACATATTGTATTTTTTTTCCTCACTCAAGTTTAGGAGATTTTTTACGTTAAAAATTATGATATAATTTTTTTTTTCACTTTCATTCGCTGTCTATTTTAAGTTGAGTCAATTTGGATGGTTAATTATCAAACTAATAAAATTTTAACAAATATGGGCAAAATTTAGCACATGTCACAAAATGAACCCAAAAAAAAAAACTATATTCATCAAAATAAAAGATTAAATATACTTTTAATTCATGAATTTTTTTATTTTTAGTTTTTAAACAAGTTTTACTAGATTTTAGTTTTAGATTTATTTCATTAATAAAACAATTTGACGCCATGACCAAAATATTAGCTAAAGGAGAAGTTCAAAAATAAAAAATAAAAAAATCGACAAAAATTTAGAGATTAAAATTAATATAAAAAAAAACTATTTGGAAACTAAAAACAAAAATAGACAAAAAAGGGTAAAAAAAAATATAATTCTAAAATAAAATATGTATTAGAATTACTCCGATTTAAAAAACAAACACCCGAATTTACAGTATAATAATGAATAACTATAAAAACAACTTAAGTATCGGTGAAATACAGCATTTACCATTAAATTTGATCTCAATGTTTTTATCATATAAAGAACAAGCAAATATTTTTCACCTTAATGAAATAATAATCTAAATGAAAAAGGATAATGAATAAAAACAAATATCTAACAATACTATTTTTCATTAACAAATTTTCAGTTCAGCAAAGGACACTAACACGGAACACAAGATGTACACATTAAACATAAATACAAAAAAAAAAACTATAGACAAATTATTGGGTAATAGAGTTTCCAATGGCACCACCATAAAAACATAAAGATAATATAATAAATTACACTTCTCTATTTTAAGAGATTTAAGAGATAATATAATTTAATTTACTTAATATTTTAAACAACTGATAACTATTAATTTATTATTATATTATAAATAAATAATATTTACTATTATGTTTATGTGACTTCTCAATAAGCTATATGACTTCTCATGTATTAAGTATTTGTTTTTTATTACCTAAACTCATTTTTAATTAAAATTTACAATATTGATATAATATCTCAAATAAAGAATACTTTAAAATAAACCAAATTCCAACGTGTTGTGATATTAATTTAAAATTTAAAGTTAAACTCACCATATCGCTAAAGATTTGTCTTAATTCAAAATATTATGATACAATGCTATTTTTAACAAATTTAGTCATAATATAATTTATTGGTGTTAAAAAAATTATAATATAATTTATATATTCAGAAGCATTTATTTATTATAAATTTTAATTATAAGAAATAAATAATTATTTTATGCACTACATTAACTAAAATACTAAATGTGTTTAATTAAGTGTTACTTATTTATTTAGATAAATAAATTCAAAACTGAGATTGAACTCAATTATTTAAATGAATTAAGCGGAAACTTATAAATTTGACACAACAACTTATGAAATAGTTTAAACGCATATATCATAAAAAAAAAAACTATATAATTTATTACATGTTAAATACATATTTCAATTTGTAGTTTTTCATTTAATATTAAAAATTTTATTAAATACTAAATTGATAAAATTAAAATATATTTTAAGAAAAAGATCATATAACATATACAAATAAGTTTAAGTTAAAAACTTTCTTTCTTTTAATAAACAAAACCCGTTCAACTTTTTTTTTTTTAAAGCAATTAAGCTAAGTTTGAAAAAAAATATACTTTTTATTAAGCCTGAAATTTAAGTACTAAACTCAACTCATTTACATTTCTTTGATAATCTCACCAATTGAGTAATAGTGAAAATACAAGAATTTCCTCTCTTATTCATCTTTTCTAACTATGGGTTGGTTACTTATTTTGGTTCTACACCTCATGAGTTTCCTTGTAAAGAACGAGGCTTCTTCTTCTACCCCTTATGAGATTCCTTGCAAAGAAAGAAGCGTCTTCTTCTAATGGAAGACAAAATTGACAGTTCGACACTGATAAACTAATAATTCGTATATTCTTATTATCATATAAGTGAATCCAAAATCACAAATATGTATTCAAGCATAAAATCTGACTATTTTGTTTTTAACTAGTACTAACAATATACATTTTAACACATTCCCCTTAATATACTCATTTTTATTAATTAAAATTTATTAAAAATTATAAAATCAGGAGACCATTATTAAATAAGGTGTCAGTCAAAATTTATGTTTTCTAATAATTTTTAATTAATTAGAAAAACAGTGTGTTCATTTCTCTCTGTTTATTCATCTCTTATGCGTTTAGTAAATAAATAAATAATTAAACGTATTTCTATAAATGAGAAACAAAATAAATAAATATATTTTATAAACTGAAAATGAATATTATCGTATTTACAGAAATTAAAAACATATTTACCTAAAAAGTATAAAACATAGAGATGACATTAGAGTGAGTTATCTCAAAAAAGAGATGACAATAGATTGAGTTAACATGTACATTTCATATTTTGGGCCCAAAAGGTTTAGCGTTTCTGATATAACGTGTATGGCCCAAAAGAACATATAATAATTGGGCTACATGTCGAAGCCTTTGGGATAGTTTGGGCCATATAGGCTTCGTATGATTTACTCCCCTTAGCATGACTCCGTAGTTGTTATTTTCTTTCTTCTTGCACCCTTCTTTAAGTTTTTACTCCTTTTTATTTTTTATTTTTGTTAGAATAAGTAGTGGTTTTGGTGTATAAATTTTTAATCCTATTTTAACTCTTGTAACTACTCAAACCATCTACCCCCTCCAACTGAAACTACATATTATTATTTAATCTCTATTATTTATATTTTAATTTTTTTAAACAAAATACAGAGGCAATTGCCCTGTAAGCCTGTTACCCTAACTAAGTTCCTCAAAAGATTAAAGCCAGAGCAGCACTTTCACTATCGATATGCATGCTTCTCTTTAACGAATCAATTGTCGGTGCTACTTCTCTTTTAGCGTGGACATCCAGCTCAATAAAGTTATTACATGGATTAATAACCTTTCCCTAAACTTTATACTTTATACCATTGACCACTCATCATATTCTTCAGACATTTTATGCCCATCACCTGTCAAAACATTAAAAAATTACCTAGTAGATCCGGATCTTCTGCCACTGTAAAAATAACTCCAGGACGTGCAATTTCAGATTTCACTATTTAGAATTAACATTAGTTTTTATGTCTAAGTCAAGATTCATTTCATGGGTGGAGCCCCCTGCACGTTAAAAACAAACTGGAGCGGTTCAT